TATATATATATATATATATATATATATATATACATATCGTATAACGCTAAATGAAATGTTATTTATTTTGCGCCTCGCGCACTACAGTGCAAGTCATTGAGGGGCAAAATAAGCTCATCGCTGCAGTTGTCAATGTTATCCGGGCGAGGGCGAAGCTGTGCGACCCGTGTTGCAACTTGTGAAGAAAGTTTTGGTCGCCCTTGTAGCGCATAATGTCAGGGAGATCCTGTTCTGCAGCTGTCAGTTGAATTCTCCGGGATTATCTGCGTGAAATCATGCTGTGCGTCCTGACCAGAACTGCGGTAAGTGATGATTTTCATAATGTACAATACTCACTCACACTAAGAACAAACGCAGCGACTTCAACAGTACATTGAACGCCTGATAAGTTACATGAGTCAGTAGTAATAGCCGTAAGGCCCCGTATCTATTGATGTTTCTATTCATTGCAACCTGATCGGAAACATTGTGTGTATTTGTTGTGCATCATTTCGACTGTTGTTACGATCGTCTAAAAACAGCAATTGAATTATGACATGTTGAGATGATCAACTTATTTACAGCACAAATCAGCAACAAATATGTCAAGAAACACGGATGCCACTGCATGCACTTTGAGAACGAGACAGATCGATCAATATTCACCATGTCGTGCAATAGTCCGTTCAAACAAGTTTAGTGACATGTTTTTAAACGTGTGTGTGTGTGTGTGTGCGCGCGCGCTGGAAGGTCGTCGAGAAAGTTCAGTTTTCCGAAGCACAACAGAAGAAGGCCTTAATTTATACCTAAGAGTATTTATTTATTTTATTGTTTTATTTGTCATTTAAGGGGATTTTTTGTTGTTGTTGTTGTTGGTTTTTTGCCTTTTAGGAGGATATTTACTTATAAAACGCATGGTGCATTTACATAAGAAAATTAAACTGAATGAATGAATTGAAATAAATTGTACAATAACTAATTTTGACACATGACACTGAGCCTGCAGACTATTAAAATAATAGCTAGATTATTATTATTATTCTTTGTATTTGTCTATTGTTAAAAGAGATAAATATGATTATTAATCTGTTTTATTCTCACAGCTACAGATCAGAGGCCCGTTTCAGAAAGGAGGTTAAGTGAAAACTCTTGAGTATGTTAAACCTGAAATGAGTGAAACTCTGGGTTTTCAGTTTCAGAATGGGAGGTTTGTCAAACCCGAGAAAGCAGGGTAAGTAAAGCCCATTTCTGAAAGAGAGGTAACTTGGGGTCAGTTACCATGGTAACTTACTCTGTGAACCTAACCTGCTCGGCGGCAGGTTTTCTTTGTTAAACCCAGAGTTTCTTTCGGTCTCCTCCCCCTGATTAAAGCGAAAGCGATGTTTTAAAGGGGTCATATGATGTTGCTAAAAAGAACATTATTTTGTGTATTTGGTGTAATGAAATGTGTTTATGCGGTTTAAGGTTAAAAAAACACATTCGTTCATTCATTCACGCTGCATAAATGCTTTTCTTAGTTAAATCTAAGTAAGAAGTTTTCTTAGTGGAATCTAAATTAAGTGCTTTTTACTTAAAACAAGAAAAATAATCTTAATGCAAATAGAAACAAGATTACCCCATTGGCAAATAATTAGCAAAATAAGAAAAATCCACTAAGTCCACAGACTAAATACCTTATGTCATTTTTCTTATGTAGAAAATGCATCTTGATTTAAGAATCTTTAGACATATTTTCATCATAGACACTGTGAAAGTGACAAAAACAGCACGTACTTTTATACAGAATCCTTTTGATGAGGAGGCTACATTAATTTGTAGGGAGATACATTTACATCGGGAGAGGATTATTTTGATTTTTTTTGCCATATCCGCATGCATATTTATTTGAGCGGTACCATTTTTAAATGGTAGTTTTCTATATAACATCAGCGATGCACAGCACATTAGTAAGGCCACTGTATGCAGAGCGGTAAGGAAAGTGTGTCTCGCTCTCACACTCTTTCTGAGAATTTTTGTGTAGTTTCCTGAGCACAAACCCATTAAAAATGAAGCTGATTACTACATGGAATGGAAGGATGCCAGATGGAAGGGTAGTTTGAGATATATATGCCATAACCACCACCACAGCTGTTAAATTTATTTGGTCATCTTTATTTCCTACAAATACAAAAGCAAGTTATTCTTTTTCCTGTTGGATTTTAATATTCTTCCAATACTTGGTAGGCTAATGTGGCCATCTCCTCTTCATCTGTTCTTCATTATTTTGTGAGCCTTCTTGCTGTTGGCTGAGTAGAAGTCAGATGTTAAATTCATTAATTAATAAATGCAACAGTTTGGATTAGAGAACATTTAATTACATGAAAAGAGCATTAGACTATGTGGAAAAAGCTGCTGCGCACTGAAATAGACACTGAATGATATTTATTTAATATGTCAAATGCTTGTAAAGTTATGTAGCCTACACCCACGAACCTTTTATGCTTAAAGCTTTACCTGATTGAATTATGTTTTTATATTTCATGTTTAGCTGCTTTTTTTGTTCTTTTTTTCTTTTTTTCTTTTGCCTGTGGGACACCCTGATACCATGAATTTAACATTCTGCCAGTTTCTACCTTTGATATTATAACAGTGATTAGGAAAGAATTAAAGTCTTTGTTTGGTGCTGTAGACATGATGGATCATAATTTCGGAGCTCCATTGATCATGGCTTTTCATAGTCGTAGTGAACACGCTAAACTCGGATCAATACTCAGAGGTGATTGAACTAACTCAATTCAGCTGTTCTGAACCCGAAATCTCTGAGTTTCCCATCTCAGGGTTAGTCAACTCAGAGTTTAAGTTTCAACTCAGAGTTGGTTGAACCTCCTTATTGAAACGGGCCCCAGGTAAGTTTTTATATTCCCTGTCCTATAAATGTTTATAAATTATTCTCTGTATTCTTAGACAAGGACGAGCCTGGTGAAGCCCTGCCGTCTACTGAGTCCATTGCCGGTTGTCCAAATTTCGGAGCGGCCGCTGGTCCATCAGGAGAGTCTCCCGAAGCTGCCCGTTCCGCCGCTGCAGCAGACATGCGTGCGCTATCTGGCCTCGCTCGAGCCGCTGATCAGTGAGGAGGAGATGACGCACACGCACAAGCTGATGGATGAGTTCCTGCGGCCCGGTGGCGTCGGAGAGAGACTGCAGAAGAGCCTCGAGCGCCGGGCCCGCAAAACCGAAAACTGGGTGCGGAAGAAGCACGCACTTCATTATAACTATCATTATAACTGTATTTCATCACTTGTTTTTTTTTATTAACTAATAATAACTTAGTTTTATGGTATCCAAAATAATTTTTAATTATATTTTAATACCACGCATTAAATAGGCTTACTTCCTGCAAGTCAGCCCCGGGCCCATATACAAAAACATTTGTACGTTATAGGTTAATGTCGGCTTCAACGCTCCTTATTGTTGTCTTTTCTGAGGTAAATCACATTACATGACTATTCACAAGCTGTTTTATTGACCGTATAAATGCTTGGAAATAATATTTGATGTTTTCAAGTCTATTCATTATTTGTAGTGCACCACCCAATAATCGCAAAAAGGCTGTTTTGTTAAATAATATTTAACAAATATTTTTATTTTATACTTTTAATATAACACAAACCGTAGCCTTTAAATTCTGTCAATTTTATCACGAAATACAAACAATAAATGTGTTTTTCCGCTCTTTAATGTGGCGTGAGATCACTGTATTCGCCTCAGTTCAAGCGGCATGTGAATCAATAATTTCCTCTTTTCTACTAGTTACAGCACAAAATAAATGTGAATGAATATCAGAAGACATGCTGAAAAAAATCAGAACAACTAAATAAAACGATTGTCTCGTAATCAATCAATCAGTGTCAATAAATCAGTGAAAATCGTCAATAAAACCTCTTGTGAATAGTCATAACAGTCATAACATAATATTTACCTCAGAAACGCCAACAATATTAAAAAAAAAAAATTTTTTCCAAATTTTTTTTTTTTTTGGAGTAAGTGGAATTTTCGCATTAACTTTATTCACGCAATATAACACAACTTTAATCTCGTAATTATGACTTTATTCTAAAAATATTATGGCACTAAAACACTGCCATATTTACTAAATTACTTAATGCAAACACACTCTTGGCACAGCGGCCCAGAATGCAAAAAAATCAGAAAGAAAGAGGAAAAAAACTACTCACATTTTAGTTGTAATTAATTAAATTTAATTCTATGGGCCTTTTTGGGCAAATTCATCCACAGTGAAAGGTGTTTAATTTAAAACAGTGCAAAGAATTAAAGCTAGATGTGATACAGTTGTGGTACAGTCTTTTCAAGTAGCTAGCTACCAACCTTACACAGGTTTTTTTTGTTGTTATTAATTATTATTTTATTTGGCCGTGGCAATGCAGTATTTGCACGTAGTTAAAAAAAAAGACTCAGTTCTACGGCAACAATATAACAAATGCACACAAGAAATTACAGAGCCCTGCATATGACATGCAGACAAAATATATATATACTGTATATATATATATATTGTGGCCATGAATTGAGAATATGTTCCCTCGTTTTAATTAAAAGGTCCCCCTCGGCGGGCCCCATAATCAGCCTGGGCCCATATGCACATGCATACCCTGCATACCCAGACGCAACACCCCTGTTCCTGACAGATATATCACTGAAACAAGTGTGTTGAGAAATCACACGTAACTAAAATCTGTAAACAGCAAACGAAAAAAATGCCCGCGCATGCTAGCCAATCAGATAATGCAGAGGCGTGTCAATCATTTTACATGTTATGTTGCTGACATGTCTGTGGAGGCGGGGCTTTGGAGAGACGGCTTGTGTTAAAAATGGGATGCTGCACCAATTCCAAATTTATTTTTTAAGTACACAGTACTTTTATTTTGCATGTGTATTAAACTTTTAACTACTCCAAATATTACAATTATTCCCCCTATCATTGTATGATGCAGCTCACTGACTGGTGGATGCAGTCGTCCTACCTGGACTCTCGAATGCCTGTGGCGATGTACACAAGCCCAGGGGTCGTTTTACCCAAAATGCACTTACAAGACCGTCAGGGACAAATGAGGTGGGTGACAATGATTACTTTTATTTGGGCAACGAGACATAACTAAGCAAATTTGAGTATTGAAGACAAAGTTTGTTTGAAATACATAACTATTCAAGTGTATTTACACTACCACTGTCTGCTGTACACAACACTACAAAAAGTTTGGGGTTAGTAAGATAAAAAAAATTATTAATACTTTAATTCACCAAGGATGCATTAAACTGACCAAATGTGATAGTAAAGAATTATACATTTTATGATACAATGTATATTTCAAATAAATGCTGTTCTTTTGAACTTTCTATTCATCAAAAAATCCTGAAAAAATGTATATCAATTTCTACAAAAATATTAAGCACCATAACTGTTTTCAATGTTGATAAAAATAATAAATGTTTCTTGAGCAGCAAATCAGCATATTAGAATGATTTCTGAAGGATCATTTGACACTTAAGACTGGAGAAATGATGCTGAAAATTCAGCTTTGCATCACAGGAATAAATCACAATTTAATGCATATATATAATAGAAAATAGTTATTTTAATATTGCTCTTTTTACTACATTTTTTATCAAATAACAGCAGTCTTGCTGAGCGTAAGATTATGGAAGCTTGTTTCCGCCGTGGGCTAAAAAAATTTTTTTTTAAAAAGGTGATTGTGACTATATATTATTTAAAAAAAAAAAAATCAGAATTGTGAGATAAAGTTATACTTGCAAGTTTATATTGTGCAATTCTGAGTTAATATCTCGCAATTCTGACTTTTTCTCAGAACTCAAAATTTACATAAAAGAAGTCCAAATTGTGAGATAAAAAGTCGCAATTACCGTGGTGGAAACAAACGTAATCTTACCAACCCCAAACTTTTGAATGGGATTGGATATTTATTATTTATCTGATACTTGAATCCAAAGTGACTAATAGTACACTTACTACAAGGACAGTCCCACTCGATCGACATGGGGTTAAGCTTCATTGCTCAAGAGCACAGTGGTGATAGTTCATGATTATTCCAGGTTCAAGCCCCTTGATGGTCATCAGCCCAGAGCATGACTACATGCATATGTATGTGGATATATTCTTGAAAAGCAAAGAGTATTGAATTATTTCCAAACTCACATTGGAGAGGTCTTCAGATTTGGGGTTTTAAATTTCACATCGACCTTTACTCAGAGTTCTCGCTTTGCTTGGCTATTTTTGGCATATGCGCTACTCATGGCATTGCACTGTTTTTTCAAAGGGATGTGCACTTCAGATTCGGCCCTGTTCCCCTTTTAGATTTGCCCTTATATCTGGGCAATCAACACCTGTAGTGACATTTAATATCTAGCCAGATACATTAACAGTATGTTTACTATATAAAACCACCATGAGAAATAAACATTACATGTGTTGTGTGGTGTTAGTATGTAGTCCTCTGCAATATGATATCTATAGTCTGCCCTTTTTCAGCCACAGGTTAACAATATTTTTAACACTGACAGTCTTTTTGACCTGAGTGCCTATTTTTTCAACAGTGACATAATATGTTTTCATAGGCTGTTCAGATTTAGCAATCCAAGCATTCTCTTGATTATAGGTTTGCTGCTAAACTCATTGCTGGGGTTTTGGATTTCAAAAGCATGATTGATAGGTGAGCTATTTTATTATTTTCTTAAGCAATTGGGAAGTGTACAGAATGGATCAGTTGGTTTTAATGGACGTTCTTTACTGTGGCATAGTGACACATTGCCTGTGGAATATCTGGGTGGCAAGCCTTTGTGCATGGATCAGTATTACCAGGTGCTGTCTTCATGTCGGATCCCTGGACCCAAGAGAGACACTGTGGTGAACTACGCTATTGGAAAGACCCCTCCTACGCATATCACAGTGGTCCACAACTTTCAGGTGCGTCTTGTAATAATATTTCACAATGTTACTGTTGTACTGTATTTTTTTTAGCATAAGAGTCTTTCAAAAACATTACAAAACATCCTATGACCCTAAACCTTTGAATGGGAGTGTTTCTAGTTTGTACGAGTTTTCAGTTTAGACGATTTAATCAGTTTTCAAATGATTACTACAGTATCTACCTTATTTTGCAAAGCTATTTTCTATGAATATGTTGTAAGACTTCAGATTCATTAGCCGCTATAGGTGAATAACTAGAATAATAACAATGTACAGTAAAACTATTTGCACGACAAACTAGTGTGTTTATAATTTTGACAATACATTAAAATAATATGATAAGAAATACCAGTTTGCAATATCAAGCAGCATAACAAGCTGTTTTGTGGCCGCACCAGCTCTTACATTAAAAATAAGTTGGATATATTTGAGTTTTTAGTTTGATGCTTTGGTGTTTTCCAGTGATGTAGATTTTGTTAGTAGGCGATATGCAGTAAGATCAAATTAATAAAGATTCATTCATAAATATCTATTTCTCTCTGTATTCCTCAGTTCTTTGTTCTGGACGTGTATAACAGCGATGGATCACCACTGACTGTAGATCAGCTCTATGTTCAGCTGGAGAAGATCTGGAACTCTTCCCTTCAGACCAATAAAGAGCCGGTTGGCATCCTGACCTCCAATCACCGCAACACCTGGGGCAAGGCCTACAACAACCTTATCAAGGGTGAGTTGATTACCTTACCAACTCCCCTAGAGTTAAACAGTTGAGTTTTACCGTTTTCGAATCCATTCAGCCGATCTCCGGGTCTGGCGGTAGCACTTTTAGCTGTAGCTTAGCATAGATCATTGAATCGGATTAGACCGTTAGCATCTCGCTCAAAAATACTCTCATTCCGGCGTAATAATCAAGGACTTTGCTGCCGTACTATGGGTGCAGCAGGCGCAATGATATTACGCAGCGCCTGAAAATAGACTAACGTCCGTCAACATAACCAACGTGACCACCTGCTTGCACAGTGAGCGTGCTGGGAACTATTTTCAGGCGCTGCGTAATATCATTGCGCCTGCTGCACCCATGGTACGGCAGCAAAGTTCCTTGATTATTACTCCGGAATGAGACTATAGTTCCTAGCCATATTGGCCTAGAAAATCGCAACTTTTCATTTTCCGTCGGTCTTAGTACACGATGTAACTACAGAAGAGTCAAGTTTTAAATAGGAAAAATATAGAAACGCTTTGGTCATAGTTGGAAAATGAGCCTATTTTCAAGAATAGTGGAGTGTTCCTTTAAGCCTTGTTCAGAATGTCAGTCCAAATCCGATTATATGTATGTACGATTGGAATCTGATTTAAATTATTTCAAACCACATATGAACGTGGCTTGAAACGGATTTGTAAAAATCGTATTAAATCGTAAATCATATAAAAAGTTGTATTTTATCATTCGAAAGCTTAAACACTGTCAATTCATCCTGTGAAAGCCATTTTGAAATAGGACATTGTATTACCACAAAAATGGTACTTTAAATCCTTATAGTGGGCTCCTCCCCTTGAAAGGAATGGTCTGGGTCAAGGATCCATATTTGGTGTCTGTTTTGTGAGAAAAGTAATGTTGTGACAGAAATGTATAAATTTGTGAGAGGAAAATTCATTAAAATAAATTAATGGAGTTTGGGTGTCACCTGGTGGCTATTTTTGGTATATTGCCTAAACAATATCTCACAGGATCCTCAATTTTTGTAATATCACCTTCAAATTTGGAACATAAGTTAATTAGACATATGGCTTTGTTTATATAGCAATTTTAAATTCCAAAATATTTTGTAAAATATTTCTTTTATATAAAATATTTTTTTTTAGTAAATTAAACTTATGTAACTTTACTTTTTATATGTGCATATATATAATATAATGTGATATTTATTTAAATATATGTTTTAAAATACTATATTCAAAATCGCGTAATTGCGTAACTTCAAATTCTGATAAAGGATTGTGCATTTCTGCATAACCTGTGAACCCTGCTTAATTTTTCCACTCTAGAGCTCACATTAATTATTCAGTACTGGGCATTGTGTTGGTGGACATGGTGTTGATTTTCCTGTGCCACTCATCTTTATGCTGTTCCAGACAAGACAAATAAGGAGTCAGTGAGGTCAATCCAGAAGAGCATCTTCACAGTATGTCTTGATGCTCCAAAGCCACGTGTGTCAGATGAGATGTACTTTAACAAGGTGGCCGCTCAAATGCTCCATGGCGGAGGCAGTCGCTGGAACAGTGGGAACCGCTGGTTTGACAAAACACTGCAGGTTACTATCATGCACTTATAGCCGCAAATATATGACCATTGAATCAAGTGTATGTTCACAGGGTAGATATATAGGGATATTCCTCTGCACCTGGGCTCTTTTCTGTATCCCACAGTTCATAATTGGGGAGGACGGATCGTGTGGACTCACCTATGAACATGCTCCGGCTGAGGGACCTCCCATTGTTTTCCTGGTGGACCATGTTGTTGACTATATGTAAGGATATTACATAATTTAATTCTTAATGAGATTTCAAAAAAATTTACACTACCATTCAAAGTTTGGGATCGATAGGATTTTTTTATGTTTTTTTCTCTTGCTCACCAAGATTTATTTGATCAAAAATACAATAAAACAGTAATACTGTGAAATATTATTAAAATTTTAAATAACTGTTTTCTATTTTAATATATTTTAAAATGTAATTTATTTCTGTGATGCGAAGCTAAATTTTCAGCGTCACATGATCCTTCAGAAATCATTCTAATATGCTGATTTCTTATTATTATCAGTTGAAAACAGTTGTGCTGATTAATATTTTTGTGGAAACCATGATACATTTCTTCAGGATTCTTTGATGAATGTAAAGTTCAAAAGAACAGCATTTATTTGAAATAGAATTTTTTTTGTAACATTTTGATCTATTTAATTTTTGATTTAAAAAAATTGGTAAAAACAGTAGTATAAATGTATTAATTAACAGGTATGCACCAATACTGATAAGCCAATAATTATTTTCATGTAACAGATAAATGTATAATATAAAAAATTTTCACTGTTGTGTCTAAATACATTAATAATATATAATATAATAACAGTAAAAAAAATTGTTTATCGTTTTAAATGCTAGTTTTAAAGGCATCATAACATTATAACAGTATTAAAATTAATATTCATTTGGAGATTTGCTGAAGATTACATTTAACAGTGTTATGAAATTGTTTTTTTTTAAAGATTAACTTTTAAGGGAGTGTATAATCTAAATGCACACTCAAACACCAAATATCAACCACCACCAATAAATTAAAAAAACGATATAATACCGATATAATGTGCTTCCCTAAACACAAGGCCCTGAATAGGTTTGATAATGTAGAGTTGTTGAATTTTTGTGAAAGTATCGTTGTTCAGAAAGGTTGTAGATAATATGTCATGCATCATGTGTGTAATAGGAAGAGATCTGAGATGGTTCGAACTCCCATGATTCCACTTTCTATGCCACAAAAGCTTCGATTCAACATCACACCAGAAATCAAGAAGGACATCGAGAAAGCCAAACAGAACATGAACATGTGAGCACATTTCAAACTGTTATAATGGTGTTTAAATCAACATTCACCTGTAATAAATGAATATTCCGTAATGTACAGGTACTTCTGTAATCCTGTTATATCCTCTGTCTAGAATGGTTCATGACCTGGACGTTCGAGTGCTCAACTTCACACACTATGGAAGAAAATTCCCAAAGTCTCATAAAATGAGTCCTGACGCATTCATCCAAATGGCTCTTCAGTTGGCATACTACAGGTGAGTTTGTCGTCCTAGTGCTGAATAAAGCACTAAAACCTCTGATCAACTACCTCTAAAATCCCTAGTCCTTCAGATAGCAGTTGTTCACATCCCAATGGCTTCTCTCACTTCATTTCCTAGGTTGCATGCATGCCATTTATGCCACATTTCTTCTTGTCAACATCTTTAAAGGTCAAGTATGTAATTTTTTATGTTAAAATACTTTCTTCTGACTTAGTTTCATGTGAAGAGTGATGTAAGTACGCCATTTGTAGGTTGACTTCATCAAAGAGTATAAACACTGAACTTCTGTTTGTTTGAATGGTCCAACATTATCAGTCAACTTCTGGCTCAAGCAGAGACGTGACTCTGGGGCAGCACTATCTGTATAGGTACCTACATAGCCAAAGTGGGTTTGGAAACCGTATTTTTTGCTATTCTGTTTAGTGCCACTAGTGGCGTATAAATTGCATACTTCGCCTTTAAAACATGCAATTCATTCAGGAAGTGAAGAATTGCAGAAACTGATACAAAAGTGCTTTTTTACTAATATTACTAACTCCAACTTATATGAGGGTTTTTTTATGTTTTCACAAAGTAGAAAAGTTGCACGTGGATAAAAAAAAAATACCTGTGATTAGGAAACTTGTGTATTTATTAAAATTAAAGTGTGGTAAGGTATTGGTCTTTTTTGTGTCATTGTGTTCTTCAGTACCCCAAAGATTGCTAACTGACAAGAAATGCAAGGTGTTTATATATGTACCTATAACCACGCCAGTCCACTTGATTTGATCTTGTTCCTGTGTTAGGATGTATCAGACATGCTGTCCGACCTACGAAAGCACCTCCTTACGCATGTTTAAACTGGGCAGAACTGAAGCCGTTCGATCCACCACCACAGAATCGCTCCAGTTCACAAAAGCCATGGATGATCCATCAAAACACGTACAAGTTTACATTTTAGTAGTGTTCTCATTTGAGTAAGTTTTGTGAATTTTCGATGTTACTTATTTCCATATTGTTTCAATTTGCAGAATAGTGAGAAAGCAGCACTGCTCGAAAAGGCCATCAAAGTCCACAGAAAGCACACACACATGGTGAGCGTTGTTAGATTTTGCTGTATTTGGCTGAGCAATCGTTTGGGTGGCTTGTCAATGTACTAGATTTCTCTAATACATAAAATAAGTAAGCTTGACCCAAGCTCTTGTGGGGAGAAGAATTTATTGAAGGTAGCATTGTAGCAGTTCTTCAGCAGCGATGTTAGCATGTCAAACAATCTTAACCCAAGGTACTGTCTGTGAGACCAGACCTTTATACCTGGTAACAAATGTGCTACAAACAATACAATAACAACCCATGGAGAGCCAATGATAGTGTGACCTCATGACGACCTGATAGGACCTCTCCCATGGAGAGCCCACGCTAATTATATGGGCCATATGGGTCACACCTTTGTAAACAGTTTCAGTTGATTGCATCTGAGGCACAGTCACAATGTGAATGCATCTGAATTGAAGTACACATAATCTTTCAGCGTCATATGATCTTAAAGGGGAGGTCTAATGCTATTTCATGCATTCTGACTTATTTACACTGCTAAAGAGTTGGATTCTCATGCTTAACATGACCAGAGTCTCAAAAAATTTTCTGTGTCAAATACACTCCTTCAGGGTTCGTATAAGTTTCTTTTGAGTATGCGTGACGCCATAAAGGGCGGAATTCCTTATATGGGCTCTTCTCCCAGAAGAGCACACGCGCACAGCAACCAGAGCGAGAGCAAGGGTGCAACATGCTTCATCCGGGTTACGGAAGTCTGTATCTAATATATATTGCTGGATCTGATTTTTTGCCATAGTTAATTAAAGTCAATAAAGTTTTTGTTCCTGTTTTATTCATGTCGATGTCACAGCTTGCAGACGATTACTACGCAAAAGCTTCTTGTTCTTGTGACTCTTTAGCTCCGCCCACGGCACGCCTCCAGGAGCTCGGCTGTTTTCGGAATCGTAAAGCTGTATCTTTCTTTACCCATGGAGAGCCAATGATAGTGTGACCTCATGACGACCTGATAGGACCTCTCCCATGGAGAGCCCACGCTAATTATATGGGCCATATGGGTCACACCTTTGTAAACAGTTTCAGTTGATTGCATCTGAGGCACAGTCACAATGTGAATGCATCTGAATTGAAGTACACATAATCTTTCAGCGTCATATGATCTTAAAGGGGAGGTCTAATGCTATTTCATGCATTCTGACTTATTTACACTGCTAAAGAGTTGGATTCTCATGCTTAACATGACCAGAGTCTCAAAAAATTTTCTGTGTCAAATACACTCCTTCAGGGTTCGTATAAGTTTCTTTTGAGTATGCGTGACGCCATAAAGGGCGGAATTCCTTATATGGGCTCTTCTCCCAGAAGAGCACACGCGCACAGCAACCAGAGCGAGAGCAAGGGTGCAACATGCTTCATCCGGGTTACGGAAGTCTGTATCTAATATATATTGCTGGATCTGATTTTTTGCCATAGTTAATTAAAGTCAATAAAGTTTTTGTTCCTGTTTTATTCATGTCGATGTCACAGCTTGCAGACGATTACTACGCAAAAGCTTCTTGTTCTTGTGACTCTTTAGCTCCGCCCACGGCACGCCTCCAGGAGCTCGGCTGTTTTCGGAATCGTAAAGCTGTATCTTTCTTTTATAAATCTGATAAAACTAAAGACTCTTCGGAGATATGAAGGATGAAATACTTCTCTATAGGTACTCTAGATTAACATGAGATTGGCAGAAACTGTGGGTGTTATGTCCCCTTTAAAATATTTACACGTTTGTCATGTTACCAAGAAATTATTTTTTAGCTTATTTTATTGATGCTGTTACAATTTTGCCTCCTCCTGATCTCAGTTTTTGTTTCCTTGTGATCAGGCCATCCATGGGCAGGGTATAGAGAGGCACATGCTGGGTCTAAAGATGATAGCTATTGAGGACCTGACGTCTTTACCTGAGATCTTCATGGACACGTCGTTCGCTGTGGCTTCACATTTTAATCTCTACACAAGTCAGGTTTGTAAATTCGGTTCTTGACGGCTACTCCAGACTACGTACACACCGCATTTAAATACGGTTGTCGCTTCTCTTCTGGGCACTTAATAACAATCTATATACACAGAACTTGGCAATTTATGGAAATTAGCTTGGAATTGATTCACTCTAATGCCATCTTATATTGAATGATATCTTGTTTATCTTTTTCAATATAATGAAAGTGAGTGGGAGTTGGGTTTGTCAAGAAAAGCGTCATAAAGTAACCATAAGTTCACATACATTAATACTCAAGGTTGCTTTCTCCAAAAACTGCTGTAATTTAGTTTTACAAGACTATTTCCAACATTTAACAAGCTTGTTTTTTAGTTTGTTTTTTGCTACTGTACCTTTAAGACTTCTATATGCATATGACCTCTGTTATTATTAGCTAGCCTCTTTGCATGGGAAATGAGTTGCAGTGCTTTCTTACATCTTGTGGGTTTGCATAGTTGGCCTGCTTTACATTGTGTCCGGTTCACAAAACAAATGCTCACACGGTTTAGGCTGAAGTGATGAGATAAGGGACCTTTCTACAAATAGACTTAAGCTGCTCGTAACATTGAGCTCCTTCTAAGGAGGTTATATGCACTAGCATAAAGGTTATACAGTATGCACTAGCATAAGTGCTAACCCTAAGCCAGGAACAGCACAATGCTTGGTAGAATCCCAAAATCAAGATACAAACAAATAATAGTACCCTCTTCTGGTATATCTATGCTACTTCCTTTCTAAATACTGAATATGTACTGATAATCAGGTTTGTCCCGGTGGTTATGGTTTTGTTAGAGACTCTTGTGTAACAGTGTCTCACTGTCATGTAATACCTTGCAAGTCATTCTGCCTAGTTGATGCCCTTTGATATAGTTTACACTACAGATACATAAATCTGACAGATGCTTTTCAGAGGACACTTCTGTGCTGCAACAGCTTTTAGCTTCAGTTAAAGCAAGGATTGTTTTGGAATGTATTTACAACTGTACTGGGTACTAGGGGTCTTGCAGGATAACAATATTGATGATAACTGTGATATTTAAGAAATAATATTGATATCTTGTTAATACTACACATACGGTAATCACATACATCTCCTCTATTTCTCTCATTCTTCCTCCACGTTGTACCGTTATAGAGGGCATTAGCTTAGCATTCAAGCCGAGCCTCGGGTTCGAGCCTCCTTTAAGTACAGCAAGCTAAGTTTGTTTACCATTATCTATCAAGACTAAATGGGCAGGCGAACATGTGAACCATCATTAAAAGGAAAAAAGAAGGCAATGACTCAGTCGCTTTATAAAAATATGCATACTTCCCTACTATGTAGTAGGTGAAAAACAGTATGTGAAAAGAGTAGCTTGTCTGAATTCACAGTATTCATTATACCTAAGTGAATTAAGGTGCAGTCGCATTTACCATTGTAAAGCAAACTTTTGTGGGTGAAATCCAGTAATTTCAATAGGAATCCATAAGATACAACAGAAATTTACTGCTGAAGGTGAAACATTTCTGCATACAGATGTCGCAACGGGTTCAATTTGGACACATGGATTCGCTGCTTTGACTTGTCTATTGACAATAGACAATGAACCTTTATTGCCTGCAAAATGTCCTGAAATTTTACTAATGTGACTGCACTTTACAACTTCTGACAAGATTCTACACATTCAATTGGCACTTCACTATCCCGTGAGGCCATGGGAGAGGATTTGTGATAGAGCCCGACCGATATGGGTTTTTTGGGGCCGATACCGATATTAGGGAGTAAAAAAAGGCCAATATCGATAGTCATATCGGCGGCATATTCGCCGATACCGATATATATACAAATGAGCAATATCTGGCCTAATCACAGCCATGCTGATATAGAGCCGGTATCGCTCGAGTACGAGAG